GAAATTTTGAATTTGCATATCTTTTGAATAAAATTTTTTAATTGTTTTTCTTCTGGCAGAATTTCGTTATATGATAAAAGAAAATTTCTGACCAAAATTTATCCATATCAAAAGGGGTCAATTCCAACTGTAGGTCAATTTGACATAGAATGACCCAATTATATTTTATTATTAAGTCGCCACAACAGTAGTAATCCTGTTGCTACAACAGGACTTTATCCTGTTGCTGCAACATGGCTGCCTCATGTTGCAGCTACAGGAAAATCCTGTTGCTGTAACAGGATTTTTTCCTGTTGCTGTAACAAGAGGCAGTCATGTTGCAGCCACAGGAAAATCCTGTTACTGCAACAGTATTTTTTCCTGTTGCTGCAACATGACTGCCTCCTGTTGCAGCAACAGTTTATTTTTTTCCGTGTATACGATAATGGAATAGCTTCAATATATTATGGGAATGGTTCTTATAATCGAAAATTTTTAGTTCAGATAAATTACTGATTCATCATATTTTGAGTAAAACGTCATTTAAATCTGATAACAAATATCATTTTCATCAGGATTATTATTCACTTTATACTTATCTTATTTCTGTTTAAATAGGTAAGCCTTAATAAATCTGTTAATGAATTGAGCAATCGAGCGTAAAGAAACCTACGATTAATTAACTAATATTTCTAACATTTGTTTCTTTGTGTGTACTGAATATAAAAATTATATAAATCATAATTTCATCAAATTAAAACAGAGTGTATAATTTATGTATTATATTTTGTATTTATACATAATATAAATAATGTATTTATACATAATTGCCAGCAAAAAATATGCAGACATACGGGATTCACCCCACACAACCTGGTGATTCTGCAAGAGATCAAGAAAAAATTTAAAAAAGCAAAGAAAGAAAAAATTAAGAACCATCTTCGGTCGCTGAGAGACGCATTAGCGCGTATCTCACGCCCTAACGAGTTCTGGCAAGTCGTCAAAGCTCTAAGAAGACCCGCACAACCCCCATGTCCAATACCTCTAAACAACTGGGAAGAATTTTACTCCACCGTATACCCACGAAGAATATACGATGACACCAACTTCATCGATGTGAGACACCCCTTCCTCGACAATAACTTTTCATACCAAGAAGTCAGAAGAGCAGTTATTAAGAGCAAGAATAAAAAATCCCCAGGCCCGGACTTAATATTAAATGAACACTTACAACATTTACCACCACAATGGATCACCTACCTCACGAAGCTGATGAACAAAATATGGAACTCGGAACAAATCCCATCCTCCTAGCCAACAGCAGCAATTACACTAATACACAAAAAAGGAACACGGAACGACCCGTCCAACTACCGCGGAATCGCATTGCTAAACAATCTGCTCAAAATACTAACTAGTCTGATCCAAAAACGGCTTAATACCTGGATGGAAAATCATGAGCTAGTCCCCGAAGAACAAGCGGGATTCAGAAAAGGCCGAAGCTGCTTGGACCAAACTTTCACCATGCTGACAGCGCTCCAATCCAAAATAAGACATCAAGGTAATGCAGTCTACATAATTTTCGTTGACTTCACCAGGGCTTTTGATTCAGTTCCTCATCACCTCCTATGGAAAAAACTGCTCAAAATTGGTATCAGCGGTAGGATAATCCGAACCATCAGAGCGATATACGCTAATGCTAAAGCTCACCTCAGAGTTGACAGAAATATCTCCAAAGACTTCGACATCACGGAAGGTGTGCTTCAAGGGGACAGTTTAAGTCCCACCCTCTTTATCCTTTATATCGCTGACCTGATAGACTTCCTCGAGAAGAAAGGCTTCAAGGGGCTTAACATTGGCAAAAAAACCCTACTTGCCCTCCTCTTCGCAGACGATGGAGCCTTTTTTGCTGCCTCCCTCATTGAGGCCAAAAAGCTGCTCATCACCCTAGAAGAATACTTTGAAGAAAACAAACTCACTGTCCACACAGGAAAAACCCAAGTCATGGTATGCCGAGCCACGGGAAGAATTAGGCAAAAGGAAAAAAATGTGTTCCGTTATAAAGGACAGCCAATTAAAACCACGAGCTTCTACAACTACTTAGGTACCACCATTGATAGCGCAACCAAAGAAGGACAAGCGGCCGAAGCAGCACTCCGTAAAGCTAAAACGGCGACAGGAACAGCCTGCTCAATATTGTCAAAAGCCAAATCAGACTCTTGGCAATCAAGAATACACCTCTTTGACAGTATCGTTGCTCCAACGGTACTTTACGGAGCCGAAATTTGGGCTCTCGACCATATGGACACAATCAACAAAGCCCAAACAGACTTTTTCAAGAAGATTCTACTCCTAGCCCCAAACAACCCAGGTTACATGGTCAGGCTAGAGACGGGAACCACACAACTCTCAGTAACAGCTCTCATCCAAGCATGGAAATGGATAATCCGCATCCTAAAGATGAATGACAGTCGATGGCCCAGAATCTGCCTGCTAAACCTGGTTAGCCTAGCAAAAAACCCTGAATGTCAAGTCAAGTTCAACTGGGTAGCGAAGCTCAATCTTATATTTAAAGATACTAAGATGCCCGACATGTTCAGCAACCTGGACCCTACGTTCTGGGAAAAACACCAATCCTGCTTTCTCTCTGCCATCACTGATCGTGCCAAATGCCAGGACTTTGAGTGCTACCTCCGCTCTTCATCACTACAAAGCCAGTTGATTTGGACCAAAGATGCAGACACCCCTCGATACCTGAAAATTAGATGTCCAACCCACTTAACGCGCATGATTGCTCAACTACGCCTAGCCAACATCTACAATAGCCGCATCACCTGCCTCGAAAACTGCCTCCATCTTGCTGCCAAAGCAACTTGCAAACTTTGTAATTCCAACTACGAGACTGTCGACCACATCCTTGCTTATTGCCCAGATTTGGATGACCTAAGGCAACGTCACTTCATCTATGAAAAGAAAGAAATGGAAAATGTAGCCAGATTCATCGCAACTGTCATCAACCGACGATCCATCTACGCCCTTATATAATTCACCCCCCCCCCTTACTCCAAGGCTCTCCAACCTGCTCAAGACTCTATTCATTAATTTATGTAAGTACACGAATTGTACCTGCGCTTCTCAAGAAAAATTGTAACAAAGAGACTCTGTATACCTCTTGAAACAATAAAATACAATATACAATATACAATATTTATACATAATTTATATTATGTATAATTTATGTGTGCATATTATGGTCATCGGGGGACATAATCCTATAATCATTTAATAAACACATTGCATGGCATTACATGTTTCAAAGTGATCAAGAAAAAATTGGATAATTCACTATCCTCACTAGGTTACCCTCGAATTAAAATCATCTTTCTTCACATAGATAAAATTCTGCACTGTCATCATAAAATGGTTACAATAAATCTTTGGCAGTCATCGATAGTTTCCCCTGAAGTTTTTTTGTTGCTGAGGGGTAGCACTTAAAATCGCTCAATCATTTATATATCTGTAATTTCTAATAAAAAATTACTGCTCGATTCACTAGCTACTTCTTGTCATTGTAGATTATCGTTTGAAGTAAGCACATGCTGAATAAAAGAAGAATCGAGTCCGAAAATAGAACTCATCAGTAATTAATAAAAAATAGGATATTTTGTTAATTCAAGCCGTACTTCTGATAACTAATACTTGAAACGAATTGAACACGAGCATATAGTGATAAATTTTTTAATTTATTATGTTACACCGTAAAGATTCATATAAAAGTAGAAAATATTCGAATTTTTGCGATGTAACTTCATAAATTTTAAAATGTAAAATAATCAAAGTGACTGTATTGAACCATTGAAAGTCTGGTCCTGGATTATGATGTAACCATTGTAATTTTTTCTCGAAAAATATTAAAGTTTTATTATGCTCACAAAGATCAAAATTTTTTTATCGACACTTTTATGAGTGTTTTGAACTTTAAAATAACGAGACGTTTCAGGGATGGGCTGCAGAGTCAATCAATTTTCCGTAGAATAAATACCCGTAGAATAAATAAAATTACAATAATATTATTTTAATCAATAACATTCTAAGTTGGTAACTATTGTATAAAAATGATAACAAAAAAAAAATTAATTTTTTTCATGTAGCTTTACAGATTTAATGTATCCTAATAGTTCTTGTTAAGCAAATATTTACTTATTTCCTTATTTTTGTAGCTGAATATGCCAAGTCCAAAGATAGCTTTATCGCTCAACGTCTGTACCAAAGTCTCCAAGATGACATCGATCATCATAGCTTGATTCGTCTGATAATAATCAGTAAAAATATAGGCCACAATTACATCAAGGAAGCTGTTCAATTACGGCAACATGTTTCATTGAACCATTTCATTCTCGTAAGTGATTGTTGTATTTACTATAAAAAAAAATTATTCTATTAAGGTTTTAATAAATCCGATGAGTTCGCAAGTTAGTAGATTTCAAAGAAGAAAAAAAAATAAGTTCATAACTTTTTCTAAATGTGATGTGATTAACATTGTTATTCACATGTATGAGTAATATAACTTGTTCCCTAAAATTAATTTTTGTAACCAAGAATTACTTAAAAATAATATGCTTTTATTTTCAGGAAAGAACAAATGGAAGCTATCAAAAACTTCTTCTTGCTCTTTTTGCAGAGTAGTTATAAGTATATTTTGAACATTATTATTTTATATTTCAACTATTTTCGTTAGTTCAATAAATACAATAATAATAATTATATTTACAGTACAAGAGAATCTTTTTACAATACCGTGGAAAGAGGAGCATCTGCCTCTGGTTTGGATAAGAAATTACACATTGATAGAATCTTTTTACACTGTTAATTACTTTTTATACTTTAAAGATTACATATTTACACAATACATATATATATATATATATATATATATATATAGATTTTTCTTATATGTAAAAAGACGATTTAAAGAATTAATCTTTTTTATTTTTTTGTAACGCTATAATATTATGATTAAAACAATTCATGTACATTGTACATATATTGACTTTATTTTTCATAAATTTACTTATTTACAATTCATGAGCACAATTATCCATTGTCAATGCATCAAGTTAATATATCCAGTTCAATTTTACTAATGCTTAATTGATTATTTATTTATTTTTTAATGTTTTATGATTACTTTATTGGTATGAAAAATAAATAAATCGATAAATAAATTTTTAAAATAAATTTGATTCTTTGGAACCAATTGAGTGAATATATTCAGCCAATAAAAATTTCTGAATGCACTTCAAAAACTCAATTATACTAACTAATTTTCTAAAATTGATTATTTATCTGCATGAATTACGCTAACTATAGTCAGTCAGTTATTTAAAACTTATTTCTTTTAGAATAATTTTTTATAAAAGCAGATTCATCCTTTTATGTAAACATATTTATGGATATATAAATGGAATATTTCTTAGTTTCGCAATTTGAAAAATTAACTCGAAAATCAATTAATTAAATCTTTTAAAAGAGCAGAAAATTTGCCCAACAAATTTTACTGAAACTAAGCACTGTTTTGCTTATAATTGAGATACACCTACTTCGTCCAAGAATTTCTTTCGCTTGGATTAAGATATGCAGTGATATTGATTCAAGATACTGCTGAATTATTTCAAGTATGCTGTTGAAACTCTTGAAACTAAATATTCTCCGACTTCTACTTTATTTTAAATCATCAGAAAAATTTGAAATACATTTCAGAATATGTTTAAGTATTTTGTTTTTTTTTTTTATTTAGAAATTTTTTCGTTACTTTGTGAATGAAAAAACTAGTTATTTATAAAGATGGCGATATTTTAATAAATAATATTTTTTTTTTCGTTAAAGTCTAAGTTAAAGCATTAATAAAAAAACTCTGTTCAATCAGTTTCATAAGATAAAGTTAATTACTATTAAAAAAAATGATTGAAAATAAACCCTTTTTAACGCTTCTGACTGCATCTATCCTATTAAGGTAGTTGTCATAGTACAATATAGTCAAAAAATTAGAAATTATACGCGTCTCAAAAGTACATGAGCTTGTAACTAAGTAACCCTTAATTTTTACGTAAGACTGTATCCGTGGCCAATTGTTTCTGTCCGACTTAATAGATATATACTTTTTCATAAATTATTGAACTTTAATCCGATATTTATAAATAATTAGACGGTCAAAAATTTTTTTTTATTTTTATATAAGCTCACAACAAATATAATAAAAGACTCAGTTTTTGAAAGTTTCTGGCAGTTAGTTTTTTTTATAACTAAGAAACTGGTACAAAACTGCAGAGAGCGTATGCAATCAATGTTAAATATCCAATTTTTAATTGAATTCACCTCGGGTTATAGGTGGTCAATCGACTTCAAATTTTAAGGGTAATTGTATCATCATGTCCTTAATAAGTATTCAAAAATTTAGAATTTTCTAGCGGTATGCCTTAACCTCGACCACTACCTTAATGAAGATTATAAAGCTTTAAGAGGAAAACAAAATTTTTAGTTTTTGAGAATTATTCTTGAATACAGAATTTGACTGTATCAATCGGAGATTATATAGTCTTGAATCAAATGGCAATGGTTATCGATCGAATATATTAGTCTTTTAAGTCAAGATGATGAAATTTAAGACAAATTCTTAAAGCGCAGCATCCGATTGTCTTCATCAATATAAGTTTCTGATATATTAAACTTATACTAGCAGAAAAGTGAACATAGGATGTTTATCATTACACCACTTATTAAAATGGAAGAAGTTTTATAATGTTCTATAACAAGATATTTATTTATCTACTACATCCTGAGGTAAATGTTGTATTGCATGAATATTTTATATAGTTGTGATTTGTAATGGTTTGTTCAATATTTTAGATGCCTGATGACCAAATATATGGCCGAAACGTATAGTAGCTGAATCAATAATTGGTGTTATGATAAACACCCTATGTCCACTTTCCTGCTAGTATTACTACAATATATCATATTACTATAGATGTATCTATAGATTGTTAATAAGTATCTTTTATTAAGAATATTTCTCTTGAATCAAGATCATTTTTTCACCAGTGTATACAAATACTCAAATTATTGTGATTTTTATATTCCATCTATATCAGATTTAAAATTTATAATTTCTACAATAATATATTTTTTATATTTTATAAACATAATTTCATTATTTCGAGTAATAAAAAATATCTTGTGTTGTTTGTTATATAATTTCTATCTAACATTTGAATTTAAAATACGGTAGAGTATTTTTTTTTTTTAAATATTACAGTTAACTCCTTCCATAGAATAATATAAAAATTCAACCCGTTTAAGTAACTCAATATCACAAAGAATAAATCAATCTTATTTTACATTAAAAATCACTAAAGAAAAATATTATTAATCACTGATTAATAATCAGTAATTTTAAATATCATTATTGCTTGGTATTGAATGCGTTTCTTTTCACGGTTAGTTGAGTTTATAATTGATCATTACTAAACATATATAGAGAAGAAAAAAATGCAAGCTGTTCGTAATGGTATAGTAAAAGTTGATGTTTCATCAACATTATATTACCGTTGTATAATTTTTAAATTTTACATTTCACTGAGACGTTTGCTCTCTTAAATGGAATCAAATAAAAAATAAAAACAAAATAAGGACTACAAAAACTTTTTGATTTTTAATGATGTAATTATAAACTGGAAATAAAATAAAAAATTTCTATGTCAAGAGTTATTCTTTAATATGTACATTCTTGACTTAAAGAGTAGTTGTAAAATAATAAAAGTTTGTATAATAAACATTTAATGAATCTGAAAAATATATAACATTCAATTTTTCAATTTGTTGTACTATACACAATTGTTATAGAGGAGATAGATAACTTAAATGTTTCACAAATAATGTTTTGTTTTGTTTTAAAATTTTTTTTTTCGCTACTTTACTTATAATTATTATTGTTGACATCTTTACATTTATTTTTCGGCAATATTTAGAATTGCTGAATTATTTACAATACATACATTTGGCAAAAAAAAATATTAAATAACTTATTTCAAAAAATTTAAATAATTGAATTCGTTAATACTTTTTTTTTTCAACTCTGCTTACCAGAAACTCTCTCACACTCACATTGAAAATTCTTTTTGAAGCCCTTATCTATCTACATGAATAATAATCACACAACAGAAAAGTGAGAGCTATTTTTAAAAATAAAAATACTTCTTAAAAAGTTTATTTAATCACGTACAATAATTCATAATTTTTCAGACTGAATTTTCTCTCTCTTTTTAACTACCATCTTTTAATATATTTAATTATTTATTAATTTATAAACCCGTTTTTGCTGATTATATCTTGCTCTAAAGTTTTAATTGTACTCCCCGATGAAAAAAAGAAAAAGTTGAAAGTATTCAAAAGAATTAAAAATAATTGACTAAATGCAATGTATCGATTTATATGTGGAGTTTGTGTTGAGATTATGTTTTTCGATTCTTTTGAATTCTTTTTTTCAATCAGGGTTATTTAATTTTCACGATCGATAGATCTAGAATAGAACAATAAATCGGACTGGTGGCTGTAAAGCCATTAACGTCCCGTTAAATGGGTGGTCATGTCAAACGTCATTTTATTTAAAATATTACGATTTATTTATTATCTATTCATAAATGTACAATGTACAGGCTTTGGGATTTTATTAGCCGATAAAATTATCACATGTCTAAATTAATATATAAAAGCTGTTGGCACTGATGCAGCAGCAATAGATATGAAAATTATTGTGACATAGAAAAACAAAGGTTTCTTTAAACTAAAAATCGATGATATTATTAGAATCAATTTAATCTCAACGAGATCCAAACACGTAACTTTTACAATTGCGGTACGCTGCGTTACCATTGCGCCACGGAGTATTTCAAACCAATCAGAATTTATAGGGGTCATTTTACAAAAATCGATTAAATAATGAGGCAAATTAAAAAAAATTTTTTTTTCTTTAATTATGTGTTAATACAAAAATACGGTAGTTATATAGTGTACCTATACAGAAACACTGAAATTAAAGTATATTTTTACAAAAACTAAGAATTTTATAAAAATGAACCTCTGAGTCATCGTCACGAATTGATTTTTTGATAAATCAGTAAATTTTTTTGATTACTTCTTTAATTTTTCTCTATTTGTTAACATATTTTATAAATTTCTCCTTCACCTGCTTCTGCAGTAGGTACTATTAATGACTTACCCCCACGGAAAAAATATATATGCAAATATATATGTTCGGAATATATACCAACATTTATGAAAATCTACATCGAGAGATATATTCAGCATGTACTCAAATTCGTCAGAAAATATATGACCCGATATATCCTAGATCATATTTCCTAAGATATATGCTGCTATATATTCCGAGTATAAATGTTTGCATGTATACACTGATAAACATTAATTTGATTCAAGAGAAAAATTCTGTAGCCAAGAAAATTATTTTGAAAAGTTTGATAAACTTGAATCAAGTTGAAAAATTCTTGCTCTTAGAAATTATTCTTCTCTCTAAATCTGAAACAGTGAAAATCACTGGAAATTAGTGGTATATTCACTATTTCACAGTTATAAGTATACCACTTGGTATACTTATAGCTGTGAAACAG